ATAAGCTTAGGGAAAAGGTGTAAATTTGATGAATTTATTTTTCCACAAAAGGTATAACTGACTTCCAAAAAACCTTTAAGTTGGGCTTCTACAAAAGGTGTAAGTTCGAAGAAAAGGTATAAATCTTATGCCAAAAATTCTTACACAAAAGGAGTAATTTTTGAAAAAAGATATAAGCACTTCCACTAAAAGGTATAAGCTTAGGCAAAAGGTGTAAATTTGATGAATTTATTTTTCCACAAAAGGTATAACTGACTTCCGAAAAACCTTTAAGTTGGGCTTTCACAAACGGTGTAAGTTCAAAGAAAATGTATAAATTTTTTGCCAAAAAATCTTACACAAAAGGAGTAACTTTTCAAAAAAAATATAAGCACTTCCACGAAAAGGTATAACCTTAAGCAAAAGGTGTAAATTTGATGAATTTATTTTTTCACAAATGGTATAACTGACTTCCAAAAAAGCTTTAAGTTGGACTTTCACAAAAGGTGTAAGTTCGGAGAAAACATACAGATCTATGCCACAAAGAGATGTAAGTAACTTCGCAAAACGTCCAAGTTCCATTTTTTTTGTAAGTTCCTAAAATCCAATCACACTGTATTTGTCTTGTTCAGATAATGGCAATGTGAGAGAGAAGGGCGTTTCGGAGGGCTTGGCCTTTCTCCCAGTAGAACTCCGTTTCAGAGAAGACGAGTCTGTGAGGGCTTGGAATAGCAACTCCGACCCCAAATCCAACCAAGTATGTCAATGCAAAAGAGAACCGTTTTTAATATAGAGCAACGGACAGAGAGAGAGAGAGAGAGATAGACTGAGATCGACAGACATAGAGACCTAGGTGGACACTGATCGACAGAGGGACCGAAATCGACAGAGATCGACAGAGAAGAGACCCACATGGACACCGACAGACCAAGATCGCTAGAGACAGACCGAGATAAACAGGGATCGACAGAGACAGACCGACATCGACACAGAGAGTCCAAGATCGATATCCAATCTTTCAAAAAATATTTGATTTGCGTCGTCGGTGCAAGTGGAGTTGCCGATCTCAGAAGGCTGTGAGCACCGGAGCCCACCGCGCTTGGGTGGTCAGCGGGGGTCACGAACCCTTTGATTTGTTCAGTGGTTGTGTCAATTGGTTTATGAACACTTCGAAATGTTACTCCTTTTGTGTTTACTACTTCGAGACGAACATATGTTACTCCTTTTGTGTTTATGAACATTTTGAAATGAACCCTTTGTTACTCCTTTTCTGGTTATCAACCCTTTGAAATGTTACTCCTTCGTTAAAATATTTACACCATTTTGGAAAAGTTGCTCTTTTTGTGTAAGAATTGTTGGCATAAGATTTATACTTTGGACTTTTTCTTCGAACTGACACCTTTTGTGAAAGCCCAACTTAAACCTATTTCGGAAGTCACTTATACCTTTTGTGAAAAAAAAAATTCGTTAATTTTGTGCCTTTTGCTTAAGCTTACACTTTTTATTGAAAATACTTACACCATTTTTGAAAAGTTACTCCTTTTGTGTAAGAATTTTTGGCATAACATTTATACTTTTGTGCTTATATACTCTTTCACAGAAGGTGTAAGTTTGAAGAAAAAGTATAAATCTTATGAGAAAAATTATTTCACAAAAGGAGTAACTTTTTAAGAAAAATATAAGCAGTTTCACGAAAAGGTATAAGCCGAAGCAAAAGGTGTAAATTTGATGAATTTATTTTTTCACAAAAGGTATAACTGACTTGCGAAAAAGCTTTAAGTTGGGCATCCACAAAAGGTGTAAGTTCGAAGAAAAGGTATAAATGTTATGCGAAAAATTCTTACACAAAAGGAGGAACTTTTCGAAAAAAATATAAGCACTTCCACGAAAGGTATAAGCTTAAGCAAAAGGTGTAAATTTGATGAATTTATCTGTTCACAAAAGGTATAAGTAACTTCCGAAAAAGGTTTAAGTTGGCCTTCCACAAACGGTGTAAGTTCGAAGAAAAGGTATAAATC